TCCGCGTTCTTCCTGCTATCGTCATCGCTACTCCAGCTGTCTCCTCATGGGGACACCTAATAGGCTGGTTCACTTTTTGCCATATTCGATTAGTCTTAGTTCCCGGTGATGCTCAAAAGGACGGGGATCCACTGAACGTCGGTTCCAGACAGCGTTTCCGATTGTAAAACTAATAGATCATTAGGGTGTTTGTGTGATCACGATAAATATCTATTTTGTGCGGCTGCATTGCGTACATTCAAGATTAACGTAAAATCTGTCGGTCCCACTGAACGGTTTCAAGTATTTCCTATTGTAATAACCAACGTATGAGTGTACAGTTGTAAAAGAAATGTGATCAAACCATAAAACAGATGAACCAGACCAAGGGATGCTCCGACGTTTTATTTTGGTTGGCACACATGGCTATATTACTGTGCCAAATGTTAGGCAGGTGTAAAGAAAACATATCCAAATTATGTGAGTTTAATCCTCCTATTCAAGCTTTTAGACTCAGATTTCTTAATTAAATCACACGAGTTGGATAGAAACGGAAAGAAATGGCATGCTTCTTGCTGAAAAGTCTGGGTCATCAACATACAGGCAAGCTGTGAATTATTTGAAGGTGACTTATCACACAGCCTTCGAAAATGCTATTTGTGATACTGTCTGTAATGAGTTTGAACTGGAGAAGTTTCTTGACTGAAGAAGGTTCAGCCAGTCAGTGCTCGCATACAAACTGTTACAGACGGAATTATGGTCAAACTGGCGCCAACCAATCACTGACGGCGATTCACCATCATCATCATGACAGCCATGAGCCTGACCAAAAGTTACTATGGCTCACGCAGCCGCTCACCCCAACAGTGACGTGGAATATCCTGGAAGAAAACGTTACTAAGAAGGTTGAAAATTACTAAAAGAAGACTAAGCGGAAGAACTAGAAATGGTATGTATGCAGATACACCATTGACTGCGACACTCCGCCATCTCGGATAGCGTCTCTAACCAGCGGTTTGGGTGATCATGAGGACCCCCTCCAGGCAGGCGACACCTACCCACTTTGCTTAGTGGAGCAGTCAAGGTCTTTATATTTCGTGACCACGTTGTCGCTTGACCATCACACGGTTTTACCCAACTGTTGGTGGTCTTAGCATATAATACCCGGTACGGTAAACGATCAGCTGGCATGCGGAGTACGTGACGCAACCATCTCAAGCTGTGTACCGTGACTAACTGACCAATTGATCGCGCATCCCGAGCGTTTCGGAATACGCGTCGACGAACTGCCACATTGCTCATGCGATGGACGGCGATTAGCTGCTGTTGAATGCTTGTGTGTTTCAAACAACCGAGCTGCTAGGTCTAAGGGTTGTTTAGTTTCGCTAAGATTCATGTTCTGATTTTTCTCAGTTGGGTAGCTCAAGAGGTGACAATGTCCTCTTACTGTTAAAATCACCTGCGTGATTTTCAGCTTGAGGGACAAATGTCTTTATTCTACCCTAACCAAACTCGAGTTGCATCGGTCCCGTCCGCATGAGCTATACTGACTGTTTTACGATTGATTACACTAGACCTTCAAGTCATTTAGCCGTTCGTTCTATTGGACATACTGACCAGTCAGGCACATATGAGTTTACAGTGCGTAAGATCAGTGGTATTTCTCCATATTAAATTGCACACCTGGGTGTACACAATTTAATTCCACCATAAACCTTCGCAGACTTGTGGCACACTTTAAGCAATCCAAATGTACAGGAAACCCAGATTTCTCATAGTTAGGTCACTTCTAAACTAACTGATCTGCAAAACTACTAAAAAGCAGTCCAAGTATATCAGTTAAATAGCTTTTATAAGGTGAGGTGATAAAATTTCTGCCTTCCAGTCTGTTAATGAATATGTCTGCCAGCAACTGGCCCAGAGATCACTCACATCCATCCTCTTTATCAGTGCGTAAATATCACTGTTGGATCAAAAATGAAAATTGTGCTTATAAATTGACTGTTCTATATTTTCAATTTGAAGAATACTGCTTGTTTGGTAACGTCTGATGAATATTCCACAGTTTCTTTCACCGACACCTTCGTGGTGAAGGGACTATCTAATAAAAATAACCGGTCATTCCCAATGCTGATAAGTTCAACAGAACTCATGAATTCAGAAGTGTATGTCCTCAGAAATGGAGTTGATTTCATTGTAAGACCATAAATTATACATATCGAAATTCGTGAGTAACGTTATCTTTCCTTATGAACATTGTAAAGTCCCAATAGCGTAGGAATAATTGCACCAATACAATTGGTTTACTCAAAACCACTATACTGATAACATCTCACAGTTTCACCCGACAAACGAATTTGGACGTTATTTCAGTTCTAGATATTGTTTTATCATTCTTTTACTCCCCTTTGGGAAACATAATTGCAAGTTGTAATCATACTACTTTTCACATGGTATAATTCCTTCGAATCTTTTGTAAGGTTTTTCAAAAAATTGACTGCTTTGCAGCTCTTTAGTGGTACTTACAAGTTGTCGCTTCAGTTAACTGCTCCTGATTGCTATGCTATCATGATAAACATAGCAAGCATTCACAAGTGCTGGGTTTGGTCCAATTTTTGATTCGGAAAACTTGACGAACAGTTCTAAATATACCGTTAAACTGACCAGCATTCGTTCATACGCCTGTCACATACTTCATTCTCACATACACCACATTTCATTACACACATTCTAACATACTACCATTCGACTAGACTGCCATATACAGGCTCATCAACATTTTATATTATCTGTGGTGAAAACCAATTCGATTCATTAATTATCCACACCTCGGCATAATAGGAAACCTAGAAGCAGGCCAATCTGCCTCTTTTTTCTTCGCTTTTCCTCTATAAGGTATTTTTTCTTTCGTGATTGTGTGGTAATTAAGCATCCGTGTGAACCACTGATGTATCGGTGTCTATGATTATGATGATGATTAGGTTGCGACCTCAGGGTTGGATAAACGGTTCTAATGTTACATATAGTAATTTGGCAGAACCATTTCACACAGTGTTTAACCAGACACTTCAGAATAGCGTTACCCCTAGTGCATAAAAAGACGTCAGGATAAGCCTATCTCCAAAGCGGGCGGCTAGCTATCACCTAATCAGTTTTACTGGCATCCCGTGCAAGAAAACTAAGCTCTCACCTAACTGACAATGAGGGCGCATACGTCGCTCGATGAGGGTCATGGCGATACCTCGGTAATTTATAGTGCGCTCAGCATAGTAGATATCATGAAGATCGATCTAAAGAAAGATCTACGCATCTAGATGTTGTCAAACTAATTCCTTTATCATCATGAGGGGGTTTCAAAAAGGAATTCGCTACTCTTAGGGTGTTTAAGCGCACTTTACTTCATATGGACAAAACAGCGTTTCAACCGCGTTGCGAGACTTATATACCACCAATACTTGAGTATACAATCAAGTTGTGTATACTGGAGTGACGAATGAAATACTCTAAGTTGGGCTTGTCCAGCATGCAGCTAACAGCTTAGTCGTTGGCTTAAGAAATATCATGTATATGGCTCGACATGAAATTCTTGATTTGTAATAACTTGAATTTCGGTGGCCGCTGGATGATTTAATTCTCGCATAACCCTTATTTGGCGAAGGTCTGATAGAACAGTTATTCGTGATAGCAGGTGATAACATCCGACGAGGAGAGACTAGGAATCTTTACAAGGTCCATCTTTGGAACTTTCTGAGACGACAATTCTTTTCTATTGAGGTTATTAACCACTGAAACAGTCTTCCTACTGAACTTGTTAGGTGCGCTTCTACAGATCGTTTTGAAGTATTGGTGGAATCTCACTAACTTAAAATGTAGTTAAGCTGCTGACTTTACTCCATTTTTGGTACTTACTGTAATCCATTGAGATCAAAACTACACTCTGTTCTCAGTGATTGCCTTTCCGGTAGACAAACATCCACCTGACACAGAATAATACAAATTAACTGCATCCAGATATCATGGGCCTCAATCCTCAAACTCGTTCATTACTAGCTGCAACTGTTGAAATTCGGTTATTCAACAAGCCCCCTGTTCTGTACTGGACCAGTCAGATTACAGCTTACGACGTTATCTGTACCACCGACATCAACCAAAGATACACACTGATTTCACTGATACCGATATACATTCATAAATCCATGTTCTTGTCCCATAAATAATTGCAGCTTACTAAAACGAGTCAGAGGCCTTCTACTTATAATTTACAGAAGAGGTTTGGATTCAAGGACCATTTCCAGGGCTACTCGAATTCTTCACTTTCGAGTATCAAGTTATGACATTACATTTGTATATAAAGGTTGAATAAATCTACTGTGCGTGCCCAGTGCGAATTAAAGAAACCAGTCGCCTGCAATTCTGATTTGTTTATCTACTTTATTTCCGTAAATCCATGAAAGAAGCCCAGCAGTGGTCAAAAAATTATCAAGCTCACTCATAAGAAATCTAGGTTTACTACGCAGGGGACGACCACAGAAAGAAAAATTGAAATCATTGTAACTTGATGTGATAGACGCCGCTGTTCCACTAATTTGACAAATATAATGTCTATTTGTGACAAATCTGGACTTCGGCTGGATTCAAACCAGCTACAGAAACACCATGTCCAAACGCGGCAAGCGCTCTACCAGCTGAGCTACGAAGCCACGCCCGAAGCTAAATTATCAGGCCTGCCAAACTACTTATCAGTGTGTACCTGATGAGATGCAGCGACATGTGCTCGGAGATACATTGTGCAAAAAACTGTTTCTGCCTTCTCTGCTCAAATTTTATATAGGAAAAGTTTGCTTTACTTATCAGTAATTCAATGTCAGTGCTCATCGGATGCGTTGGTGGGTTCCAGCGTGAACTAACGGGGAAATCCTGCTTAGGCAGTCAATCGGCTGGATCATTTGGTGGATTCCATATGACACAGTTGGTTGGGTGAGTAACTAGATCCAAATGTGAAATTTCTGAGCTTCCGGAGTGGTTTCGTAGCTCAGCTGGTAGAGTGCTTACCGCTTTTGGGCATGGTGTTTCTGTAGCTGGTTTGAATCCAGCTGAAGTCTAAATTTTTCACAAATGGATCTCCTCTAGATTATCAAATCTGCCAAACTACTTATCAGTAATTAAATATAATATCGACGCGATCAGACAATCAGACTTTTGGGAGGGGGCTGTCATAATATAGGCCTGTATGTGCTGCATTGTATGTGTGCAATAAAAGGTAAACCTGTGATTAACCCATGGAATCAGCATAGTACCGCATCACTCATGTGTTCAGGAAACTCCAGGATGAGTGAACAACCCATAATCAACCTCAGTAAAAGCGTCGTTTTTCTTCATAAACAACACCGTCGTAGCACACAAATTAGTGGGGAACACGTAACCCGGTCTTGCTGGTTACGTCACTGGATCGATTGGTTAACCAATCAAAAGGAGGTCACTCAACCGTGATGAAGGTTATTGTTCGGTGCAACAGTGCCGCCCTGACGCGGCACAAGTAGGCTGGTTGGGTAACCGCTCGTGCTGAAACAGTAGGTAACGGCTTATTCTTTAGAATGGTAAAACTGAATGAATGCTCAGGAATGAATACTGACTGTCAGCTCGAATAGGCATCTGATGCCCAGACGTATTCACCTAGCGAATAATCAACATCGACTGACGAACCATAATTCAACTCACTCACAGTTGGAAGCGTTAGTTTATGCATCAGACTGTACCACGTGCGGCCAGTAAACGGTTCCGTTTCAACAATGCATATGTCTGACATGGCTACTCTCACCAAGGTTAATAACCTTGAAAGTGCGGTAGCTTCATAGTGATCAACAGTCACCCCAGTTGAGAAGTCCTGATAAAATGGGTTATCGATGAGATCGAGTAGAGGGATTCTGTCCATTCTCCTTTCCTATATAATAAAGTAAGTTGAACCTCAATAAAAAGAAGTGGTGAGTGAGTTTTTGAATGTGATTATCCAGTCATGCCTGTTGTGAAGTTACTGGCGGCGCGGTTAACATACTGGTCTCACGAACACGTGGGACGGAATGCAAACTGCGATCCATACGAGGATATGCACTACCGATGAGCCCTAAAAGGATCGAAAAATGTGATTAATGCTTCCTTTCAAAGTAAGCAGGAAGTTACAATCTCTTTTTCCACACAGAATGAGTGACTGACCAGGTGACACATGATTGAATAGTGGCTGGTTTCATTAATTGTTTAATGTTTCAAGGAACTTGCCGGTTTTTGTCACCTGTTGAAGTCCGGACAATTCGGCCAATAAACTGTAACTCTTTTGCTGTGTAATTTTGTTTGACTGTCTACAAGCAGCCATCCTAACCTGACTGAGGTTTTTCACAGATTCGATGTAAGAATGGGTTCGGTACTACCACCGCACAAGTGACTTGTTGAGACTGACCCCGCCAAATCATATTTTTGTTGCTATGTAATATACAGAGTCTGCAATAAGTGGTTCAGTGCAACTCAAATAGAAAGACGCATCTCCACACTAACGTCAGACTTAGCGTCTGAAAGACGAGACTCTAGGAAGTACGATTGGGCACCTAGAGATAGGTTTCTTGCCGGGTGTGTAGGAAGAGAAGCTGGCCTTACGCTACTGACAACGGACGTTCGAACCCATTAGCTAAATGATGTTTATGTATTTTCACGTATTTCATGTCAACTGCTTGGGAACAAATATTTTTGCTGGTCCTACGTCTCTTGCGGTTACACCAGTTGGTGCCGCGGCCAGTCCAAAGAAGACTGCCCTTGATCGCAGTCTTCTGACACTAAAGGAGTTCCTGAAGAATCTGCGTTATGCGGTCTAGGTGGTCAGAGTCAAGAATGACTGTGGAAACCTGGCTACCCTGCATATACTGTTAAAGGACGGGGCGAGAGAAGTATTGGACAAATGGTAGAAAGACCCTATTAATCTAGATTGGGTAGCTGCGAACGAAGTGCAGATAGCGGTACCTGACAACTTGACCAATTGCCAACATGTAATGTGGTGGTACGCAGCTGCTCAGCTCGGACGAACGGCGTACTTCTCTTTGTTCACTGCAACACTCCAAAAGGTGTTGGACAAAAGCTACCGAAACAGAAGTAAGATTCCAAACTGCATCTGTTAGTGAGGCAATTTATCAACGGTCTCCCGGAGACTGTTCACAACAAAAGTCACACTGCCCACATCAGCTGAGAGATGGGTACTGATGAACCCATAAAAGTGGTACGAGCAGTAATAGATAAGTCCGCAACTTTGAGTAATGCGAACAACAATACGGACAAGAAGGCAAAAGAAAACATTAAATAGCTGAATGCCGATGTATTTGCACAGAGAGCAACACCACAGAAGAACGACAATAAACAGAGTTGCTTCATTTGTGTTCAGAATGGATCCTAGCAAAAGGCTTGCGCAGGAGAAGGTCCGCAAAGTTAAAAATGGTATACTTCATTGTGCAGTGGAGTTCAACGATCGTAATATACTACTGATACCGCGGCTATTCAGTAGCAGGTGCAGGGCATATTTTTTGACAACCTACAAGCCACAAGAAGACTGCAAGAAGGATCGTCACGGTGCAGCATCACCCATAACAGTCCCTGCTACTCAATGGAACTGAGCACTGACATCTGTGGTATCCGAGACTGTCTGAGGCCGAATACTGCGTGCAAATGAGTGTTTTTGTGTCAGGTTTGGTTTACATGCTTAACTCGTGTATTGCTCCATCTACTAAGTAACTGTTGTGGCACCCGCGTTCTTGGGTCACGACAATTGGACGGTTTTGTTGAATGGGTCTGCTCGGACAAGCAATGATGTCAAAAATCAGACACAACGAAGCGTGGTCTATCTGGGAAGGCTATTTCCTTGACTACTGGTGGAGAAAAGTTTAAACATGAAGCTGACATCAGTGCGAATAATGACATCTGCAGATCATAAGCTGTTACCCGATGATTTGAAAGAATGCTGGGTGTGTACTGATAGTCAAATTATTGGGCACCGTTTTAACGTATCTTCAAAAACCAGGCAGACGATCTCCGGGGCCGAGCTTCCGGTTGTGACAGACGTCATGACAGACCCGAAGCCCAAAAAGCCTTCATCCGGTTACGGTTGTTCGATACTTATGATAAATCGACAGAGTAACGTAAACTAAACGCTCTTATCACAACTCACGATCAAGTATTAAGCTAGATTATTTACCAGTGACAGTGATCCGCACAGCGTGTGCAACTGAATTTCACGTGAAGTACAAACAACGGGAAAATTCCAGCCGTACTCACTCTCACAAAATACGGGCGTTGTAAGAATTGCTTCGATGTATTTGATTTCAAGCATCATTCTATTTTGTTTATTGTCTTGGCACTTCACTATTTCAGTCCGCATGCTTCAATTTTTTTAAAAATCAGTATAGACTAACATCCTGGCTTCTTATCCATTCTGAAATATTGTCTGTTGACTCTCTTTTGCTTGACGGCAACAATTCATTCATTGATCTGGTGAAGTTTCGAAAACTTTTGCCACCTGAATGTTTTGACGCCGACCCATGTTCTGCTGAAGTATTGAAACATTGAATTCGTTGGCATGATACCTTAGTCAGCTTTCTGCAAGTAACTGAAGCCCTCAACCCAGGAGAAGCAGACAGATTGGTAGACTATTCTGAGTCATCCGTGTGAGAAGTTACTGAAGCATGCAAAACCCCCGTTTATGTGTTTTCTACACTCTAACGTCTTTACTTGTAACCTTAGGGCAGAATTTTCCTACATATGTTTGCCGCCTAAAAACAGGAAAATTTACAGACTATGAATCAGTTTATTTTGAAGCCGAAATGTTTAAAGACAACAGTTCTAGAATGCCTATCACAGAACAGTACTGAGAAATAGCTTTGTGAGTGGACTTTTATTGGCGGTATACAACCAACCTAGGTTCGCCAAAGGCCGTTGGAGCAAGGGATTTCGAGTCTTCGGGTGGCATTTTATCAAGTCAGACCTCAAGAGACGGCGCAGACCCATTCACATTCGTACCAAAATCTCAACTACCTTCTTCTGCTACGACGAACTTTCAAGAAGCTATACACACAGCTGTTAAGTCTTCGACATTGACGGACGGACTAACGTTAATCATAGCTAGTTCAAGATGCTTATGTGACTACACCCACCTTCAAGAATCCCGGCTTGTAAAATAGCGTATACGCAAGACTTGAGGAAAGGTAGGTCATTTACAGAAGTTCTCTATGTCCGGTTCGAACACAAAACAGGTAGTTTCCGTTCTACCTGCCGTCTTGTCGTCGTTACTTCTGGCTGTTGACTAATGGAACTAGATTGAATACCCTTTTGTTAGTTAGGAGTTTCAAGGTTATATCACTCTTTCTGGTATAGGAATGAACAGAATGACGATGACAACCACTGGCCTTTCAGTTTTTAATGAATGCCAGTGTTATCTCCCCTTAGAACAGGATGATTTACTTTGCCGTAATTTCAGGTATCTGTTTCTATCTTAGTTGTTGGCTGGTGTACCTCTTGACCATGACCTTTTAAGGGTTTGTGAAAAAGTGGAAATGCACTTCGGTGGCATAAAACCACCTTTAAACAATTGTGGATTCGTTGATGCTAGAGCTAATGCATTTCCGTCGTTCGGAAATCTTCTTTTGAATGCAAATCAATAACAACAAGATTTGTGTGGTACGCAAGTGTAGACAAAGATGTTCTATGTTCTGAAGTACTGCAATTCACAGTTAAGAATGTGATTTAGTCTTCAATATTATCTTGAAGGGCACATGTTTGGGGACGGCCGACGAAAGACATGATACAAGACTTGCCGTAGATCATAACCAACCAATCAACCGATTCACATAACTTGGTGTATGTCCTTTACCGTAGGTAGACAAAATGATAGTAAAACCAACTCACTACTACACGTGTATGTACCACTGAAAGTATAGTAGTATTATCACAATCGACTGGAGTTAACAGACAGTAACTGTGACTCCATTTCGAGATGATCGGGCAACCTAATCATTACTCACAGGCGAAAGTGGTTGAGTGTTCACATATGACAGTTCGGTCGTGCCTAACGTGA